TTATCCAGCAGCGATGCTTCAGTGTGATTGAAAATTGCTCATGTCGCGTTCAGTGTTCTGCTCTAACGTATAAGTAGTTAGCGACTTTCTCCGTTTCTCTGCGTCACTGGAGATGGTATCCACCCGGTAGTACACGTTGCACATCTATTTCGTCTTGGAGATGTTCACTTCCAGACCGATGGCGCATGATTCGACTGCAAAGAGCAGATGGATGAGCCGTTCTGCATCGATATCAATGCCACTACCCCAGTTCAGAAGGTTGAAGAGGTATTCCAACACCGTCGCGAATGCTTAAGAGAGATGTGGTGTCCCTTTGACGTAATCCTCTTTTAATGTTGATTTAAGACAGTTACTGGAATAGCTTGATATCGGTTGCGGTGACTTATTCGATCAGATCGATTAAAACGATCTGAAACTTCGGTTGTACAAGGCGTTCAGCTCGATGGAAGCGAACGCTTTCTGAAGTTGGTTAACGCGTGTCTGAGAGAGAATTGCTATTATTTACACTTCTCTATTAACTGCTTGGATGTGGTATACGGTGGAGAATCCGATTCTTTACTGGTGATCAGTTCCAGGTCCTTCTGGATACAGTTGCGGATGATTCAGGTAAAGTCCTTATAGTTTTGTAGCAGGAGGGTGATGGACTGATGGTTCTGGAGGTCTTCAGCGTCTCCTTTCTTTAATAGAAGAATCTTCGACTAGCTCTTCCGTATTTCTGGCTTTTTCACTCTGTAAATTGTTCGGCAGGGGTTTTGAACAGTGTCATTCCTCCTGACTTGAGATGTTCCGGTTTGATGCAGTCTTTTGGATATTTTTGATTTTTCACTCTACTCTGTCCCCGGTGACATTGATAACCGTTTTCTTTGCAATATGCAGCCGCTTCCGATTTACCTCTTCCCTCGCAGAGTAGTAGTTGTTGTAGTACTTCGTGCAGATCGCTTTACTTTGACTGTTTTTTTTCTCCCTCGTCCTTTAGTGCTATCAGAATTCGCTTTTTTAAGAGGATTTCCGTTTCTTGATCCTTCAGGCTATTATTTTTTAATGCGACCTCTCTTGACTTCGTTTTGCTGTGCTCATCCTAGTTCTCCCGGTAGTTTTTGTGTATTTCTTTACTCCGTGCAGTGTATTCAACATCCACTTATCATCAGCCTTCATTCTGACTCTTCTGGCCAACATCTATATCGTTCCAGAGCTTCTGCGCTGATCCTAGTCAACACTGTTGCCCGGTAAGATAACCTAATGACAGTTTGATGGTATCGATGAGGTGCTTGTATTCTGCATCGATACCTCTGCCGTTGTCTGTTGCGAGGTTCATTTGAGGAAGCTTGTCTGGGAAAGCATCAGAATAGAATATTCGTATAATGGCCGGTTGTCTCTGAGCCCTTTTAGCCCATGTCCCTGTTTCTTTAGAAACATGGACTGTGACTGTTTAGAGGAATAGTCTGTGGTTTGACCCCTTGCATACTGTTTCCTCCTATGACCGGCGCATTTGTTATTACTCGCCTTGTCTCCGTCAGCACGTAATCGATTTGGATAATGGTCGTTCCATCAGGGATGTATAACGTCAACTATAGCTGCTCTTATTTTTCAGATACAGTATTATTTATGTGAAGTCTGTAATTTCAAGCAAATGCTATGAGTCTTGGGCCGCGTTCGCACTCTACACTTCCAAACCGGCCGATAAAATGCTTCGTTTGTTTCCTATCATATTGTGGCGTTGAAATCTCCTGTCAAGATTGAGTACATCGACATCTTTTGCATTGCTCTTTCCAATTCTTAGAATTGTTCCTCTTCTTCATCATCCCTCGCTGTGTTGCGCTGTAAACTACGATTATCTGTAGTGAACGTTTCTTCTCCCTTTGCAAAATTAGTACAGCGACACGAAGCGACATGAGATCCAGCTGATTACGAGTAATGCAGTCCTCTTATCTACTTTGAATTTACACTGCTGACTGAAAGTATGCTACTTATTATGTACTACAAAATGATGCTGTAAGGGTTACTTTAGCTGTTATTACTTGCGGTGTGGAGGGTTATTGTTTGCTATGATCTGGTGGTTCTCTCAAAACGTCTATTGCTAGACTGACTTTGCCAGACAAAGCTTGCATTATAGCCTCGCACGTCACTTAGCTGATTAGAAAGGAATAAAAATTCTTGAGAAGTTTAACTGTCATAGGGTACAATTCACAAGTGACGAACGATATGCGCGATGAAAAAATGAGAAACGAGTCAGTCAGGCGAGCGCCGTAATACAGGAACTGAATCACTGCAGTAACTAATTCGAAGCTATTTGTCGTCCAGTCTCTCTATGCGCCTGCCATGAGCTATACACGTGAGTGCTGCTACTAGATATGTTTGATTGAAAAGATTGTACTCTCTGACGAAAGTGGCAAGAACTTTTCTTCGAAAAGTGCTGCTGTAACAAGACTGTAGATGCTTTGAAACACGGCAGTCTGAGGTACAATAGATTGTGAACGACCGCTTCACTGAATTATGAAGATGTAATGGCGATGGCTTGAAAACGTGATCATGGTGCCAAAGAAGAGATTCACAAGACAATCTATGATAGGCGGCCCGTATGCAAATATAGGGCTAAATGACTCGATCATATTGAATATTTTGCATTGTTTTGCCATTTTATTAAGCACGTATGGTTTTACTTATTTACTGAGTAGTAGAGCCACTGAGAAAACCTTTTGAAGTTGCCTCCGGTACTCAAAACGAATAACGGATGTTTACCATGAGTGAATGAACCAGCGAATAGAGCCTGGCAAAACGCTGTTCCATGCGTCTGTCGCCATCTGCACTTTAAATTCTACTAACCTCTAGCGAACAGTAAACGTTACCGTGCAGTTTTCTGTTTTTCCATGCATAATTTTTATTTTCATAGGAATTCTACCTGCTGCTTACTTTTAGTCAGCTAAAGCTAAAATTCATGGTGTTCATACTTCTTTCGTATCTGGCTGTTGAGACATCTTTGGGATCCGATGGCTGAAAGAGCAGTCATCTTGTTCAGCATTACCTGCTTCTGCCGTATCTCTATCCGGTCAGTCGTTGCTGTGACTACAGTAACAGTTTTTGTATAACGTAGGATTAGCTTCTCTTCAAATTAGAGGTATGACAAAAGGAATAGGGGAATAAAACCACATGAGTTCTGCTGAGACATGCATTTTTATCTAACAATCGAAAAACGCATCACTCCATTTCAGATTCACCATTAATGAGTGAAATTTACCGCTCATATCTAAACTACGATTGTAGAATCCGTTTTTGAGAGGCGTTGTGTAATAACTGAAGAATCTAATGCTATTGGCTACCATCTATTAAAGGAGCACAACTACTAGTAAAATCGTCATGTGAATCAAAACATTAATTTTGTGAACCAAAACTAAGAATGTTTTTAACATCAGCCATCCTCCCCACAGAGTTGAAATTATATTCTGAACAAAGTATATGACACGTTGGTCAAAAGTTGATAACGGTTTGTTTCCTTAAATAAACTTTTGTTTTCACTGATCTTATTGCAATAATTGTTCTCGTTATTTTTAGTATTTGCTATTTACAAGTATCTATTATATTCGATTATTTTGAATTTGACCCGAAACAGCTTAATGAAGAATAGTATTCATAATTAAGACGCATTTCATATCTTTATCCTGCTTGTTTACAACTTAGTACGAAGCTGAATTTTTGAGGTTGGCAAAATGTTCAATCGAGGTAAATGGAATGAACTGGAAAAATATGTTCGCAGTTTGGCGCGAAGGAATCGCAACGTGTACATCTGTACGGGTCCCTTATATTTGCCGAGGTATGTTTTTATGCATCACTTCCTAACCTGTTTATTCGAGTGCTTGGTCCTAGGAAAGAAGCTGATAATCGGATGTACGTAAAGTACCAGGTGATCGGTCAAAATCACGTCGCAGTGCCCACCCACTTTTTCAAGGTGATCCTAATTCAGAACATGAGTGGCGACTGGTTTCTCGATTCATACGTCTTGCCTAATGAACGCATCGATGACCGTGTGGATCTGAAATCCTTTCGTGTCTCACTGGAAAGCATAGAGAGGGCTGCTGGATTTCTGATTTTCGAAAAAATCCGTGAGCGAAACGTTAAACTGATAGAACCGAAAATCAAGTAGTCATTCTCAGCGCAAATTTTGTTTTTTCTGCATCCACATTCATTTACTGTAATCGTTTCTTCTTTTATGCATCAATATTCTTCCTTCTGATCTTATGCCATTAATGGGTGAAAACTATAATGACAGTGCATAGACATGTTCATTTATTGACTTGCATGTGATTTTCCATTCATTGTTGGTGCCGGTTTTTAGATAAAACGGAATAGTTATCATCGATGCCTCAAGAGACCCACATTTTGTATGCAGTTTCTTTTGTTTTGCAGCTAGATGTGAACTGTTTCTAACAGGTCCATGCGTGAATATGTAGTTAAGCAGCTTAGGTATCTTGCATATTGGCGGATTTAGGAAAGGCGAGCTTGTCGACCTGTATAAGACGCTGGATACTTACTTATTGAAATGCGAATTTTTTGATTAGGTGACTCAGCAGCAATTTCATCATCATCTTCACTCTCAAATGTCACCTCGACACATTTTCAATAATTTTCTGGTCTGTCCACTCACTCGCTCTCAGCAAAT